ATTTTTACAGACCAATCAGCACTGGATGGGACAGCCATCCTGGTACCCATTTTAGGCTGGGTCGACCTGCGCCCCATACCATGATAAAAATCCACGCAGCCAGCAGTGGGTTTCGATCACGGTACGTTGGATTACGAGTCGGACTCGAAACTCAATAGTTAATTGAGACCAGCCTATTGTGGATTAAACTATGGGGTATCCATAATAGCTGATAGGATTTTTTTTTTCTTTTAAATAAAAACAGGTGATAGCAATACTTTGTTGTTGCACAGGGTTTTGTCCCATCTGGCATGGTCTCTCTGAGAAAAGAGGCTGATCATCATCTCAGAGCACACAGCAAATTGCACACAGCAATCATTCCCTGGCTCCAGATCTGACTCTCAAGATCAGAAACATTGCACTTAAGAAACAATTATCTCAGTTGGGCTGCGGGACCCCATTTTGAGTAGGGGGGAAAAAACAGACTCATTGCCCCCCTAACAAGCATGCAGCTTAAATTGACTAATTAGAGGAGTGTGATTTTTCGAAGTCGGAGTGCATCTACATGAGAATGAGAAACAGTCCGCATACAAATAAGCCAGAACTGTAAAACAGATGTGTATGCAAAACTCAAGTTCTGACACAAGAGATGAGAGTCCAAAAGTAGATAAACAACCAGAACTTTCCCCCGCAGTTTACAGCTGGTGAACGTGGAAAATAAGAAGAAACACTTGATGTAGATACAAACAAACCTATGACCCCTGAATCAAGCAGAGAACTGCCTCACTTGGGACGCCTCGACACAGGTATACTGCAGCTGTCATCACTGAGATAAATGTTATAAGTAATCTGTCTATCTCAAACAACAACATTTCAAACTTAGGATTAACAATATCTGTCATAAACTTTGCACAATATCTGTCATAAACTTCGCACAATATCTGTCATAAACTTCACACAATATCTGTCATAACTTCATAAAATATCTGTCATAAATTTCGCACAATATCTGTCATAAACTTCACACAATATCTGTCATAAACTTCACACAATATCTGTCATAAACTTCACAAAATATCTCTCATAAACTTCGCACAATATCTGTCATAAACTTCGCACAATATCTGTTATAAACTTCGCACAATATCTGTCATAAACTGAACAGTATCTTTTTCAAAAACTTCACAATATCTATTATCTGAAACTCATCAATATCTCTGCCATAACTTGACAGCCTCTCACTGAAAAATACAACAATTTTACTATAAACTTAACAATATTGCTATCATAACTTGACATTCTCTCTCTGATAAACTCAACAATATATCTACTATAAACTTAGCAATATCTACATCATATACTTAACAACATCTCTATCATACACTTTAAAATATCTCTAGCCTTATATATAACAATATCTTTATCCTAAACTTAACTATACTTGTATCCAAATCTGTAACACGCAACATTAATGTTTACCTTTCTCAAGCCCAACTTGTGAGCATCATGGGAAGTCCTGACACTGGGTAAAACAAACACAGTTTCCTCTTAGTTCATGAGATAAGATCTTTATTTAGTATCACAGTGGTGTTTTTTTTTCCTTGTGTCTTTTAGTGTATTACAATATTTGCTGATGGAACCTTTCCATCTTTCAGATGATAGTGTTACACTGTGCTACAGGGGGGATGGGAATCACATCCCATGGCAATGATGATTTTATGTTTATGTTTATTTTACAGATCCACATCATGGCACAGGGTGCAACCCATAAGTTCTAACTCAAGCCTGAGTCTGAAAAATCTCAGTGCAGTGCACAAATAGTGCTCCGGTGAGGATTCTGAAATCCTCTGGGTAGATTTTTAACTCCAAATTTTTGTCCGGGCTACTCTTCCTGATTTCCAACTGCCAAGGTATTTTTTATGTGCACAACCATACACATGGGTGCCCAATCCTAATACCCAGAGACCAGGAGAAATTACTAGAAGTATGTTAAAAAATCTCAGCCTTCACTGGAGCTTGAACCCGGACACAATACCTCAAGATCACTCAGCCTCATGACTGGCAAGACTCATTCATCCATCTTTAGAAATTATAGCAAGGGATTTCAGGCTCACTGTTGCCACAGCATATGTATTTAAAGTGATTCTTCTCAGATGCTCAGGATCTTAATCAATCTGCAATCATTTTCTCCTTTATATCCTTATTCTCTTCTTGATTTTCACCCTCCATGCAATCCGCTCCGTGGCACCTTATTCCCATAAATCCATCTCAATACCTGTATCATTTATGTCCCATTTGCAGGAATTTGTATATTTATTATAGTAGAAGCTGACCTCGACAATTTCCACCCATCTGTGTGTAACTCACCATAGAGGATGCCTGTTAGGACTATGACTAGGAAGCTTGCAAAAGGAAAAACAGAAACAAAATCCAAAAATGCAAGCGAATCAGGTAATCGTAGTTCCTATTTCATAGAATATGGGTCACCTCTTAAGTTTCTCCTCTCCTGCACCAATGTTAACCATACAGGACGGCCATCTCATTTAGAAGCAACAGAGATGTGGTTTCTGAGAGATGTGGTTTCCGAGAGACGATGTTACGAATACCTTGGATGACCAGAGTAACTAACAACGATTGTTTCAAAGAAGCTAAAGAAAGTAGATCTCTTTATATAACAATAAGAAGAAGAAAAAACACTGTTCTTTGGCCATGTAATGAGAAGAGAGGCATTGGAAAACATGGTGACAACTGGAAAGACCAGTGAGAAAAGGGATTAGGCAGATCAATAGAGATGATGAGGGATGGGCTGAAACAATGGCATGAAGGGATATCATCAAGAGAGCTGTTCCAGGTAACCAGGGATCGTGATCTGTGGAGACGCATGAGTGCCTATGCCAGTTGGCAGGGCATGTGATGAGGATGATGTCCATCTCTGCTCCTTGTGGAGGGAAAAACTGACACAGCCTGCATTCTCAGCAAAGCCAAAAGCATTCACATATATTAAATGCATAAGGCAGTCAGCAGAAGTGCCAACAGTCTGACACTAAAAATGCACTTCTTGGTTGACAGAAGCAGCAGATCAGTAGTTGCACATGCAATAAATTGTAAAAGGCAACACCAGTCATCTCAGGTACCAGACCAGTCGCCATTTTCTGAACCTGCAGTTCGCAACACCAGCCACATCGAGCAGCCTTACCAAGATACAAGCAAATGTTTCAACCCAAGACTTTCAATTAAAAAAGCAACATGGATACTAACCAAATTAAGGCAGTCACACGACATTAACCCATAAGACCGATAAATAAACAACACAGTTAAAGGAGTGAGAAATAACAATACAGACAAGCAGTAGAAAGATATTTAAAAAACTGACAGGAGAATATTTATATTTAAATGAACAAACTATTCATAAACAAATACTATCTACAGAGCCACAGTGGCGCAGTGGTTAGGGTGTTCACAGCCAAGAGAATGTTCTGAGTTTGATCTTTAATGATAGTCTTATTACTTAAATAATGCAGACACAAACATTATATTGCAAAATTTACTGCCTGACATATTCAACTGAATCTAGTCAGGTACATTGCTACATAGTTACACCGTATGATGAAGCACCAAAGATCAATCCTTTCCACCAAAATATATAAACCACAGTGTCTTCTTTGGTTATATTGTACACATCATGAGCAGAAGTTCAAGGACGTCCTGTGGTTGCCATGGAATCTGACAATTACCACTCTTTTTGCTAGCACAATGCAGGATTGCTCAATTTTATTGTCATAGACTTTTTACCAATTTCAGTAATCATCTGTTTGGTATGTCATAAACAAAATGGAAGACACAATATTTATTTCTAATCAGGAAAGAAATTGGCATCAGATCATTTTCCCAAATTTCTGACAACTGAGAAAGACAAAGAGGTGATGAATCAATTACCATGCCTCATAACTACTAGTAAACCAGTGTTGTGCTGCAAGGTCGACGTCACATCTCCATATTTATTTATACCAATGTACACATTTCACTTTTGAAATATCCAGTGTTTTCAGACAAGCTAGATGCTGTCAAGTCTTCAGAGGTTGTTAGGCTAGTTAACAATGTGAAACCACAAACAGATCTTCACAGTCTGAGCTGGGTGTCACCAAGGGATCTCTGTTTGACACTCAATACTCAGTAAAAAAAGCAAGATAGACATATCAATCAGATTGTTACTAGCATTTAAACTCTGTGCTTCCCACTGTCTTTTGTTGCTCATTTATTTACTGGCCAATTACATGTACAGGGAAATGCTTTGTAATTTGGTCTTTCTGCTTTTCAATATAACAACTTTCTGAATCTCCCTATGTTTAATTAAGAACTGACATCACAGCATTCAGGATATTCCCATAAACACTCTTTTCCCATCTTCAGCAGCAAGCGCAGAGTTCCAGTTCCAATGATACAGTAACAGTCTGACTGAATATCCATATCACCTTTTTTTTTTTTTTGGGAGTGTTGACCGTTGGCCAGATTTCCTGGTCACTCCTCACAGCATGGTTCTCCTCAGGCCATGATGATCCATCTTTGCCTCTTCAATGTTCACTCGCACTGCCAAAGGACCCTTACAACATCTTACTTCTAATTCCTCGTGATTCTCTCCAAAAACTGCTTTCCCCCACCCAACCCCCCCCCCCCCCTCCCTCTCTCCCCACTGTAATCCTAATTTTATTATTCTCACAAAACAAATCTTTCAATAAACTTTAGCATAAACAATCTACAAAAAAAACTTACTTTAGCATAAACAATCTACAAAAAAACTTACTTTAGCATAAACAATCTACAAAAAAACTTACTTTAGCATAAACAATCTACAAAAAAAAACTTACTTTAGCATAAACAATCTACAAAAAAACTTACTTTAGCATAAACACTCTACAAAAAAACTTACTTTAGCATAAACAATCTACAAAAAAACTTACTTTAGCATAAACAATCTACAAAAACAACTTAAAGAATAGCAAGGAGAAGACAACTAGACATACCTGCTATATATAGCCATTATAAACATTATCACCAGCCCAGCATAGGAAGCGATACGGTCAGCCTGAGGGAAGGCTGGATCTGGTCGACAGCTGGATGTGTAGTTGTAAGCATGGCTGGAGCTGCGACTGGTCACCTGGCCAGTCTTGGCTGTAGATTGTGTGGTGGTGCTGGTGTCAACGCTGATCAGCGCCATGGTCTTCCCAAACAAAGTGTCCAGCAGGTTCTCAACTAGATCAATACAATCAACATTTCATGTCAGAATAATTGATGCAACCACCAACATTTCATGTCAGAATAGTTGATACAACCACCAACATTTCATGTCAGAATAATTGATGCAACCACCAACACTTCATGTCACAAAATTCAAAACAAGCACTGTATATCAATTTAAACATCAATAATCATCAATATTTTAGGTGGGAATGATAATACAATCACCAAATTTAAGGCAAAAATTACCAATGCAATCACCAAATTTTATGTTAAAATGATCAATATAATCATCCACATTTCAGACAGGAATGATTAATACAGTGATAACATTTCAGGTTGAAATTATTAATACAATCGTTAATGTTTCAGGTCAGAATGATCAGTATACACATTTCAGGTTGGAATGATCAAGATAATCATGCACATTTCAGGTTGGAATGATCAAGATAATCATGCACATTTCAGGTGTGGATGTTTGGGATTCCAATCTGTAAACCTAAGTTTTAATGTGTTTACAGATGAAAGGCTTGACTTCAACTGCAATGGATTTTCCCCCCATGACTCAATTTCTACAAGCAGAATGGCTGAATACATTCAACACAATTTCTACAAGCAGAATGGCTGAATACATACAACACAATTTCTACAAGCAGAATGGCTGAATCCATACAACACAATTTCTACAAGCAGAATGGCTGAATACATTCAACACAATTTCTACAAGCAGAATGGCTGAATACATTCAACACAATTTTTACAAGCAGAATGGCTGAATACATTCAACACAATTTCTACAAGCAGATTGGCTGAATCCATTCAACACAATTTCTACAAGCAGAATGGCTGAATACATTCAACACAATTTCTACAAGCAGAATGGCTGAATACATTCAACACAATTTCTACAAGCAGAATGGCTGAATACATTCAACACAATTTCTACAAGCAGAATGGCTGAATACATTCAACACAATTTCTACAAGCAGAATGGCTGAATACATTCAACACAATTTCTACAAGCAGAATGGCTGAATACATTCAACACAATTTCTACAAGCAGAATGGCTGAATACATTCAACACAATTTTTACAATCAGAATGGCTGAAACCATACAACACAATTTCTACAAGCAGAATGGCTGAATACATTCAACACAATTTTTACAATCAGAATGGCTGAATACATTCAACACAATTTTTACAATCAGAATGGCTGAAACCATACAACACAATTTCTACAAGCAGAATGGCTGAATACATTCAACACAATTTTTACAATCAGAATGGCTGAAACCATACAACACAATTTCTACAAGCAGAATGGCTGAATAATTCAACACAATTTTTACAATCAGAATGGCTGAAACCATACAACACAATTTCTACAAGCAGAATGGCTGAATAATTCAACACAATTTTTACAATCAGAATGGCTGAAACCATACAACACAATTTCTACAAGCAGAATGGCTGAATAATTCAACACAATTTTTACAGTCAGAATGGCTGAATCCATACAACACAATTTCTACAAGCAAAATGGCTGAATACATTCAACACAATTTTTACAATCAGAATGGCTGAATCCATACAACACAATTTCTACAAGCAGAATGGCTGAATCCATACAACATAATTTCTACACGCAGAATGGCTGAATCCATACAACACAATTTCTACAAGCAGAATGGTTTGAATCCATACAACACAATTTCTACAAGCAGAATGGCTGAATCCATACAACACAATTTCTACAAGCAGAATGGCTGAATCCATACAATACAATTTCTACAAGCAGAATGGCTGAATACAAACAACACAATTTCTACAAGCAGAATGGCTGAATCCATACAACACAATTTCTACAAGCAGAATGGTTTGAATCCATACAACACAATTTCTACAAGCAGAATGGCTGAATCCATACAACACAATTTCTACGAGCAGAATGGCTGAATACATTCAAAACAATTTCTACAAGCAAAATTGCTGAATCCATTCAACACAAATTCTACAAGCAGAATGGCTGAATCCATTCAACACAATTTCTACAAGCAGAATGGCTGAATCCATTCAACTCAATTTCTACAAGCAGAATGGCTGAATCCATTCAACACAATTTCTACAAGCAGAATGGTTTGAATCCATACAACACAATTTCTACAAGCAGAATGGCTGAATCCATACAACACAATTTCTACAAGCAGAATGGCTGAATCCATACAATACAATTTCTACAAGCAGAATGGCTGAATACAAACAACACAATTTCTACAAGCAGAATGGCTGAATCCATACAACACAATTTCTACAAGCAGAATGGTTTGAATCCATACAACACAATTTCTACAAGCAGAATGGCTGAATCCATACAACACAATTTCTACGAGCAGAATGGCTGAATACATTCAAAACAATTTCTACAAGCAAAATTGCTGAATCCATTCAACACAAATTCTACAAGCAGAATGGCTGAATCCATTCAACACAATTTCTACAAGCAGAATGGCTGAATCCATTCAACTCAATTTCTACAAGCAGAATGGCTGAATCCATTCAACACAATTTCTACAAGCAGAATGGCTGGCAGCTAGCTAAGAAAGTCACACAAGACAAGATACTCCCTATCTCAAGTGACAATTTCCAGGAATCTTTGAAAAAAAATGTGTCCCTATGAGCTAAAAGACGTAGCCTGAAACTGTAGTCACAATCCAATCTTCAGAACAAAGGACAAATGGCTTCAGTACTCGGCCATCAACAACTAACTCTCTCATATCTGATCCACTAATCTGACAGTCATAGCAACGGTATACTCACCTTCACCATGGGCAATGATTACCATGCCCGCCTATAGCATAATATAACACTATCATTTGGAAAGATAGAAAGGTGCCAAGAATTTACAGTATATAAGTGGAGAATTTTATTTGTATGTATATTCAACTCGGTCATGCCAAGCTTTCCTATCCTATGCTTGTAGATCCTTCATTACTTAACCTCTGAAAGAGCAGAACAGTGGAAGAAAAGGTACCAGTTGTTTGATATTGCTTGAGACTAGCACAGACCAACATGTAAATGTAATGGACTCACAGAGCATGCTGTGGAAAAGTGAACCTGACATCCAATGTGAAGGGTGCCTTGCATCACTGGAGAATATCATGGATTTTCTATCCAATATTTTCAGGTGTGAGGGTAAAAATCAGGCTGATACACTGGCTGCTGTCGTTCCTCTGAACAGTGAGCTACATTACGATAAGGTGGTGAAGGCTCTCTAGGATCACATGGATAGTGCAATAGAACAGAATACCACGCACTGAAAGGCTAAATCAAAGGGAGATATAGTAGAGGTTCCGGAAGTTATTCAACACTGAGGGGGAAACATTTGCTGGCTTTTAATCAAGTATGAATAATTGACTGAATGAATGAATGAATGAATGAATCAGAAATTGATATCACTACAGTCAGGAACATTCTCACATGTGCTGCATCCCCTACTTCAGCAACTGATATAACTGAAGCTGTAAATGACTTAGGCTTGGTTTGCATTGGTAGCTGGAGAGAAAGATCCTGTCTCTGATTGCAGAATTTCAATAAAAACCCATCTGACTAATCATCTCTTTGGCTGATAATTTAGTCACGTCTTCTGTGTTGTTTTTAAACAAGTGTTAGAATGTTATCTTTTTTTCTTCTGCATTTGCCATGAAAAGAGTGGCTGGTATGTTGTGCTGTGATTCACAAATAGCCTGTGATAGCTACACCTTTCACCAAGATATCTGATTTCTGCAAATCCTATTTCTTTTTCTTCTTCTGCTTTCTATCCCCCTGGGGAGCATAGGCCCTCAACCAACTCAGCCAAGTTGTTCTATCCTTAGCCATAAATCCTATTTAGCCATCTTTTACAAGCTCAGTGAACAGTAGGTCTATTGTTTTTTCCCTGCAAAATGCGGCCCTGGAACGTACACAGGCATTTATTCTTTAAATTGCAATTGCTTACTAGTAACATGTTTACTTTCTTCCTTAACTCTTTGAGTCCCAGGAGGTTTAGCATCACCGGCCCAAGGGGTAGTCAAGAAAGGTGTAAAATCAGCGCATCATGCGTTCATTGGGCCTCTAGGTAGGAATTGATGAACGTATGATGCGTTCCTTGGGACTCAAAGAGTTAAAAACATACAAATTTGCAACATAGTATCAAAGTGAACAACTGTCTTGCAAATGTATGATATGAGTAACTTACTCTCTTCTGGGGGCTCGCTGGTAAGACCTGACCATGTTAAGTACACAACGTATACACAGATAACTGAGGCTTGCAGTAGTCCAGCATTTGGGTTTCCTGAAATCAGCAAACATAAGCAACTCTCCTTGTCTACTGTAACTTATTAATGTAAATGGTAAATTATGTGTCTAAGGTAAATTATATGTCTACAGAAGATGATGTGTGTACTGTAAATGATGTGTCTACAGTAACTTATTTATGTAACTGTAAAGTCTTAATCTTAGTTATGGTTTCAACATCACGGCAATCCAGTTTAACCATACTTGCTCTGTTCTTGTGCCAGTGCGAATCAAATGAAATGTCCCTTACTGTCGCAATTAAAAAACTGGTGAACAAACAACTAGTCCCAGAACAATCCAGAAATATGTGCATGCAGTAAATGCGTACTTCAGTTGTTAGAGACGCCAAAGCCAACAATCGCCACCAGAAATTCAGTCTTTTCGCAGATGGAAGTAGTTGGGCATGAAAAGTTGGTTACTATACACACGTAGAATTATTACATACGGTATTTCACCAACTCATTTGTAAACTGGCTACCGGCCACTTTCAACTCCATAACACAACCGCTCCACAAATGAAAGGCATTCCATAGGAAAATGCAGCTCACAGGGCTGCAACCAAACACTAAACTCAGTACCTCAGGCAGCAAAACTGTAGACTACCATCCTTATGTGGAAACTGCATTAGCAAAGCACTGTCGGAAGCAAAAATAACTTTAAAGCTTAACATTCTGCCAAGTTTTTCTTCCATTCTGGCTGGAAGTCTGTAACTGTATATAAATAACTGTAAATAATGTGGGAAGTTCTAGTTTTTTTTTCCCCACTTCTCAACTTTGGTTTCATTCCAGAACTGAGTTTTGCAGGCATTTCTGTTTTACAGATCTGGCTTATTTGAAGGCAGACTGTTAGTTCCTTACCTTTCAGGCAGACGCACTCCACCTTCAAAGAAAACACCCCTAATTAGTTGCCTTTTATGGCATGCTTCTTTGGGAGGCAGAGGGTCTATTCCTCTCCCCAAATAGGATCCTAGGACCCACACGGGGAATACATACAAGTACAAACAAGTAAGGATTACATCGCATAAGTAGTTAAATTAAAACTTACGTTTCATAGTACACGGCAGCAACGTCAGAAACGTGAGCAGGGCGCAAAGACCGATGTTGACAGACAAGAAAATGTGATTGGTTGTGCAGCCTTGCCAGCCGTAGTAAAAGAACAAAAACACCATTCCCAGGATTGTGACGGCAAAAAGTAGTGCAGCGACTACAACTGTACCTGAGAATTAGTTGCTTGCTTTATTCATGTATTATAGGGGGAATTTGAGGCAACTTTTAAATGTAAAACAAATTGTCATGAAATTGGGACTCAGCAAAAGAAGCCATAAGTTTCTAAACAGTAACTAACCACAACTGGCAGACACAAACAGTAACTAACTATAACTGGTAGATACAAACAGTAACCACCTACAACTGGTAGACAAACAGTAACTAATCAAAACTGGTAGACACAAGCAGTAACTACTCGTAACTGGTAGACAAAAACAGTAACTACTCATAACTGGTAGACACAAATAGGAACTAATCACAACCTGGTGTCACAGAAAGAGAAACTAATCTCACACAACAGAAAACAAACAAAAACAAATTCATTATATAAAACACACAAGCAGAAATACATGTACAACTTGCTACCACATAAAAAAGAACTAATTAAAACTCATACAATATACCAAGAGTTACAAACATCATACACACAAACAAGAAATCTCCTAAACACATACACAGGTGAACTGGTTTTTTTTTCTTATCTGTGTCCCTGTTTGTGTTCAGTTTTTGTTCCTGTTTATTCAGTTCTTGTCTGTATGTTCCTGTCTGTTCAGTTCTTGTCTGTATGTTCCTGTTTTGTGTTCAGTTCCTGTCTGTATGTTCCTGTTTGTTCAGTTTTTGTCTGTATGAACTTGTTCGTGTTCAGTTCTTGTCTGTATGTTCCTGTTTGTTCAGTTCTTGTCTGTATGTTCCTGTTTGTTCAGTTCTTGTCTCGATGTTCCTATTTGTTCAGTTCTTGTCTGTAGGTTCCTGTTTGTTCAGTTCTTGTCTGTAAGTTCCTGTTTGTTCAGTTCTTTTTTCAATGTTTCAGTTTCTTCAGTTCTTGGTTTGTGTTCCATTTTCATCTCTATGTTCCTGTGTGTTCAGTTCTTGTCTCTATGTTCCTGTTTGTGTTCAGTTCTTATGTCTACATTCCTGTATGTGTTCAGTTCTTGTCTCTATGTTCCTGTTTGTGTTCAGTTGTCTCTACATTCCTGTATGTGTTCAGTTCTTGTCTCTACATTCCTGTATGTGTTCAGTTCTTGTCTCTATGTTCCTGTTTGTGTTCAGTTCTTGTCTCTATGTTCCTGTTTGTGTTCAGTTCTTGTCTCTATGTTCCTGTTTGTGTTCAGTTCTTGTCTCTATGTTCCTGTTTGTGTTCAGTTCTTGTCTCTACATTCCTGTTTGTGTTCAGTTCTTGTCTCTACGGTCCTGTTTGTGTTCAGTTCTTGTCTCCATGTTCCTGTTTGTGTTCAGTTCTTGTCTCTACGTTCCTGTTTGTGTTCAGTTCTTGTCTCTATGTTCCTGTTTGTGTTCAGTTCTTGTCTCTACGTTCCTGTTTGTGTTAAGTTCTTGTCTCCATGTTCCTGTCCGTTTTCAGTTCTTGTCTCTACGTTCCTGTTTGTGTTCAGTTCTTGTCTCTATGTCCCTGTTTGTGCTCAGTTCTTGTCTCTATGTCTACATTACAGCTAGTGAGGCAGGAACTCAGTAGCTTCACAACCTTCACCTCTGCCTTTTTCTTTTTAGTTTTCACTGGCTGTAAACTCCTGCCAAAAGTTTTAGCTGTTCATCTATTTCTGGACCTAATCTAGTTACGGAACTTGAGTTTTATGTGCACACCCATTTTACAGATCTGGCTCATGTTGGCTCCTGACCTCTTAGACAAATGTACTCCAACTTCAAAGGACAGTCCCCTATTAGTCACCCTGTACTACATGCTTGTCAGAGAGATAGTGGGTCTATTCTGTTTTCCTCCTCAATGGAACCCACAGGGGGATTTCTTTACATATATCAATGTTTAGCTGATTAGCAAGAGGATTTATTGTGTTTCCTCTTCTACATCTAGATGATAAGCCATTTTCCCTCAGTGTCAAAGCAACACAATGTAAAAGATCTCTTTTAATGCACTAGGGCACTTGGGTGCATAGTAAATCAAACAACCTTCATAATTTCTAAAATCCCTGCTATGAAATCAGTATATATATTCTCTATTCTTATTTTTCATGTTTCAGCTGGGTTGTTTTTGAGCCACACTAAAACGTTATAACAGGTATAGAGCGAGTGGAAGACCTAGGAAAATTGGGAGTGATGGCATTAAGAACAGCCTTACAGAAATGAACATCAGTCTTAATAGTGCTCTTGACAGAGCTCATTAATAAATGTTACATCTCCCCCCGGCCCTTGGATGAGGTACAAGGTGGAAGAAGAAGAAGAAGTAGAAGAATAAGAAGAAGAAGCTAGATAGTCGATTCATACGGCTGCCAGTATATGTTTTTCTTATTCTCAGATCTTTACCATCAATGTTTAACGTTTCCAAAATTATAATAATTTCTTCATGTTTTACTTTATCAAATGCTTAAGTATAATCAATAAAGATCTCTGTTCATTTCAATCATTCTTTCTGAAAGTGTTCTCAAGATAAATATAGCATTGTTTGTGCCTTTACTTTTCCCAAAACCATACAGCTCTTCTCCAATTTCTGGTTTAATTTTGCACCTGATTCTTCTCATTGTAATTCTCATTAACATTTTAGCTACATGGCTCATTTAACTAATCGTTTGATGTTCTCCACAATCAACTGCACCAGGTGTTTTTAATTTGAGGTCTGAAAAGAGATTTCAACAGGTCATCAGGTGCGCATCCATAATTATAAATATCATTCAATAGTTTTTGTCAACACTTCTAAACCCAGTTCACCCACAGTGTTTAATTCTTCAATTGTGATGTTATCTGGACATGGGGATGTTTTTTACAGCATCTACCACTTCTGATTTTAATACTAGCAATCCTTCCCTATACTCTTAACTCTATGTCTGATCTGCTGTCATCATCGTGTAGCTCTTTTATATACTCTATCTTTCAATTACCTTCTCTTTGTCCATTAATATTTCACCTTGTTTTGTTTTCAAGCAACTACTTGCTGCATATTTTCTAAAACCTGACAGCTATTGTATTCTTTTAAACATGTCTTGTGTGTTTTCTTTTTGTTCTTCAATTTCTTTGCACTTATTATTTAGACAAGCTTTTCTCACTGCATTATATTTATGTGCAATCTCACTATGTATTCTTTTATATTATTCTTGGTTGTGTTTATTTTTTTTTTTCTAATTTCCATCAGATGTAAAACTTCCTCAGTCATCCATTTTTTTCTTTGCTGTCTTCTTTACTTCTGGTAATATTTCATTTGATGTCTATTGTAATGACTCTTTCAGCATTTGCCATTGTTCATCTATACTACTTATCTTTTCAAAAGCATTTAAACTATTTTGAACAGTAACGGTGTATCTCTTACTCATTTCTTGATTGGATTCAAGTATTGCCAAATCTATCTTTGTATTTCTTGCAGCCCTTGTTAGTTTCTTCAGCTTTATCCTTAGTTTTCCAATGACTGGGACATGGTCACTATAACAGCATCTACCTGATCTTGTGTTTACTGACAGCAACGTGCTTTTAAATCAGCTGTTTATAAGTATATAATCAATCTGGTACCAAAAATTATTTCCAGGGCTTTTCCAAGTCCACGGCAACTAGGATTTTGTTTAAAGTGAGTATTTCCAATAATCATTTTACATGTCCTAGCCTATTCAACCAGTTTTCCTCCTCTCTCATTTCTCTCATACTTACAACAAGGATCTTAGTTTAAACAGCAGAAAAACAGAAGCAATGATAATTACAAAACAAACTGACTCTCAGAAATGCAGCAACAAAGTAAATGGGACAATCCCAAGCAAGCTGTTACGTTTGAGTATTTGGGTACCCCAATAATATCAGACTTTAAATGTAGAATAGCTCAAACAAAGGAATAATTTAACAAAATTAAAAATATTTTTGTGCAATTTTTTTTCGTCAACTGAGACGATAAAGAGAATTTTTAAAAGCTATAAAAATCTTATCCTGATAGATGGAAGTTAATCACAAAGAGAACTAATTGCCTACATTACAAAGAGACATTCTACATGCTTTGGCTATGTCACGTAACGGAGAAAACTGTATATTATGACAGTTAAAAAAATTGGAGAGAAGAGAGGCAGAGGGAGACTGACAGAAAAGATACTGGACTCTTTGACACCATGACATGGAGAATGATCCATATCAGAGTTGGCATAAGCATGCCACATTGCATGTACTTTAGGAAAATGAAGAATTTTTAATTTGCACTTTTGACTTTATTTTCACTTTTATTTAATGTTAATATCCCCTTCTGAACTGTCCCAATTCCTGTCTTTCAGTTAGCTTTTGTTGTGTTCATTCCCAAAATCATGAGTCTTAGATGTTATCCAAGTGTATACTCTATTATATTTAGATTCAAGTTCTAATCCTCTCATTCAAAAGACGGCAAACATTTCTCACTAACATCATGTTCAGTAAGAGGAAATGGAAAAATAAGCTACATCAGACACATGATTTAACACTCACCAACAAATCCACACTTATTTCTCTGGCCACGTTTTCTACCATTCCTGAAATAAAACAATCAAACAATACTAACAATAATTATAGAAATATTATAAACACAATTTAATAAGTGGAAAAAAAAAATGAATGGACACATGTAAAGATTAGACAAGAAAACAAACAATAACATAACCATAATTTACCAATCATGTTCTCTGGGGTAACTAAATATCTGCAATAAGTCAGCTAAATGATGATGTCAAATTGTATGTTTCCTATTTTTATTTCAATAAAGATTTCCTTATGTGGGTTCCAGTGCCCCACTGTGTGGAAATAGAAAAGACTAAAGTACAGACCCACTGCTGCCTGAGATGTAGGTCGTGAAAGTTGAATAATTAGGGATGTTTCTTTCAATGTCGGAGTGCATCTGCCTGAGAGGCGAGGAACCAACAGTCTATGTACAAAAATGCCAGGTCTGCAAAAATGGACGTGCATGCAAAGTTCATGTTCCGGAACAAGACTAAGGTCCAAAGTAGATGAACAACCAGAAATTTCAGCCAGAGTTTACAGCCAGTGAACAAGAAGAAGAAGAAAAAAAAAAGAAGATGAAAGAAGGAGGAGGAGGAGGGAGAAGAAGGAAAAGAAGAAGAAGAAGGAGGAGGAGAAGGAGGAGAAGAAGAAGAAGAAAAAGGAGGAGGAGGAAGAAGAAGGAGGTAGAGGAGGAGGAAGGAGGAGGAGAAGAAATAAAATTGTTTATTCCTGCTGTTGATCAGTTAATTAATGTTGTGTAGGCACATTTCATTATTAATTTGGGCTTGTGTGAGTTCTAGGGCAGCCCCATTTCAAGGATAAAAGAACAGCCCCAGCAGACCCAACAGCCCCAGCAGACCCAGCAGCCGCAGCAGACCCAGAAGACCCAGCTGACCCAACAGACCCAGCAGACCCAACAGACCCAGCAGACCCAACAGACCCAGCAGACCCAACAGCCCCAGCAGACCCAACAGCCCCAGCAGACCCAACAGCCCCAGCAGACCCAACAGCCCCAGCAGACCCAACAGACCCAGCTGACCTAACAGACCCAATGTTTCCTTCACCAAACTGACATAAAAGGTGACTAATAAGGAGCTGGCTGAAACCAGATGTGCTGGCTTGAGAGGTGCAGATACCGCACCCTAGCTGTAATTGACAACACAATGTTCCAGCTGCCATTTTGAGGGCAAACATAGAAGAAGAATCTCTCAAAAGCCAATGAAAACATGGGAACAGCACCTAACCCAGGTAGATTCTTAATCCTTTACCAGTCTATCTGCCCCATACATATTCAATGTCAAGATAATTACAAGTACTAGCCAAAAACTGAAAGAAAATTTACCATCTAGCATTCCACGAATGAGTGAAGTCTACAAGCAAGATCAACTGTAAGAGTATAAAGAGCACGCCTCCTGTCATGCCCACGTACATCCAGTCTGAAATAAGATTAACATTATGTTTGAAGTATATCAGTCTTATATAACAGTGACATCATGTTTCATTTCTTTTTCTTCTTCATCATTTGTTAGGGCTAGCTGTGACATCTGCACCTTTCAGCTGACATACCAGACATCAAGGACCTTTGTTGTTCAGGTTAGCCTTCCCAAATGTCATTTCCATCAGCTCCCAGTGTGGGTTCCAGGGACCCATTTTTGATAGAAAAAAAACAGCCTCACTGAGCTCCCACACACCCAAAAAAAAAAACAAGCATGTCATAAATTGTGACTAATAAAAGTTTTGCTGAAATTGAATTTGTTGGGCAAAAAAGTACAAATATCACAACTTAGCTGTAATTTACAACATTGCATGCCACCCACCCTTTTAAGGGTGAATGTGGAAGAAAAAGAAGAATTTTTTTCCGTATGAAATAATTTGTAGGAAATAACAATTTCTAACAGTATACTTGTGAAACAAACAGCAAACAAGCATACCTCCTTGCAAATATTAAAACCTTTCTTGATGAAAACACTAGAAAGACATTCTATATTTCTCACATCCAGACATAAACATTAACTATTGCTCCACAATATGGGATGGCTGTTCCAGTTTCACTATCAAGCAGCTAACATCACTTCAAAAGCATGCCATTCACTTAAACAGCAATAAACATGGGACAGTTCTAAAACATGTAAAGGTCTTATGCTTTTACCATTACACAAATGTCTATTTTTATTCATATGATCAAATAATTTACAAAATATTATTCCAGAAGGCTCCAGGTTACTGCTGTTTAAATATAATGGAAGGCACAGCAAGTGCCGAAACCTATTTCATGTCCCTAAACCTAGAACAAACCTATACAAAACTTCTTTAGTGTAACCCGCCACTCAGCTGTGGAACCATCTTCCACAACAAATCAAAAAGGCCTCTAGCCCCTATGCATACAGTCAGAAACTGTTAGAATATTATCTGAGCGCAGACTGACAGATAAAAAGTATTTCAGAAATATGTCCCATAAATGTATTACAATCACTGTGTTTTACTGTTGTTAGAAATCTTAATGTAATTCAAGCACATTCCTGTGGTTGTATTTGATATTTAGCTGCTGTTGATAATGTTTTATATTACTTTTCAACAGATGTGTGAATGAAATGGTGTATGAAAGGAAAGTGTATGATTAAAAGGGCAGAATGTTAAGATGGGAGTGAGTGCCCATTTCTCAACCTTTGGAAAATGAAGTTTGTACATTCTTGAAATCATCATGACTTCTGTCTTTTAGCTGTATTTATTACCATCATTCCTTGCTCTATCATTATAACTCTAGCAACATACTGTACAAACAGAAAACATCTCATACTTACATATAGAAAATTCTGTAGGTATGAAAAAGGCAGCAACACACAAACCAATAAGCACTAAAAACTTGAACCCCCAGTAACTGGAAGAAGCAAAAATGTAGAATGTCACACAAAGAATGGCAGTAACAATGGTATTACTGTCTGTAAATTGCCACTGTCTGTATTTGTCACTTTTGTGGTGTAGGTAGGGTGGTGGGGGGTCTATAAGTCTAAGGATTAAGGACGACATGGCTAGTTCCGATGCCAGGTTAGGATTTTATTTTTGGCCCCTACAGAGAAAAAACCATTTTACACAGGATTCTAACCTAGGTCCCTCTCGTGAGAGCTCAGCATTCTTAACTCTTCGTAGACGTATCAATACTTTAGTGGCTTCTGAATCCAACACGTTTGGAAAAATCACCATTTAAATGGCTCCATGCGTAGACACGCTAATATTGTTTCGTCTGCTGTGAAAACAAATTTGTATAACCAAGTTTTGACAAACTAGAATTAGCTCGTCTTGGAAATTTGGCGTGGTGTTTGGATAACTTTCTGATCTGTTTTAAATTATTAAGATGTGATACAATTTTTACGTGATTCCTCCATACCAAAGAATAAGGGAAAAGGTCCAGAACTGTAGATTCTACTCTGTCGTTGATGAATCTCTGCCAGATAGTGACAATAGTTTTGATATTATGACTGATAATGCAAGTGACAAACCTACTGGCGATAATTTAGGTTATGATGACGCTGAACAAAATATTTCAGTCGGATCATCTCTGTTTCAATCACTTGTTTTCCCGAATCTGACAAGTCATATAAAAATGGTCATAACATCCTAAGTATTTAAATTAATATTTTAAAAATAAAGACTAGCTGATACATTCATAACTGAACAGAGAAGAGATGTGAATTCTTAGAACTGGATAGCATTGTTGCTGAAGAGGTAAAAAGTAAAGTAAGCACAAATAATCACAAGTGTAAATAATCTTCCTGTGTGTCTAACATCCTTGAATGTTGTGTAATTTTAAGAACATTTTGTTGAATACTGACATTTAAATAGCTTATATTTATTCTGCACTAATTTCCCTATAATTTGATATACTATATGTCTCTTTTTAACCAATATTTTTTCTTAACTCTTTGAGTCCCAGGGGGTTTAGCATCCGAGGCCCAAGGGGTAGTCAAGAGAGATGTAAAATCAGCACATCTTGAGTTCACTGGGCTTCTAGGCAGAAAAATATGAGCGTATGATGCATTCCTTGGGACTCAAAGAGTTAAGGAAGGTTTTAGCTTTGTCATGTTGCAGTAAAAAAAAAAATTCTGCTTAAAATTAATGTTGTCTAAACTCCCAAAACAATGTCGTCCTGAAAGAGTTAACCAATCAGCCAGCTGTGACAAACATTCTAAACTAAGAACGTTCAACATTAAAAGATCAGTTTTGATTTCTTGATATCAAGAAAAAGTAAATGAACAAATACATTTTGACAAGAATATTTCTCATTATCAAGTACTGTCATGAACCTACAGTCCATATGTATGAGCATACAACAGGATTCAAGGACAGCAGTCACCTAAGAAATATGTAACAGGTTTTCACCTTCAAGTGAAATAAAGTGAATGGAAGGGTGCAGGATAAGTGAAGAAGAAGAAAAAAAAAAAAAAAGAAAGTTGGGTAATGTTGGATTTGGTAGCAAGTTACAGGTAATTTAGTATAGTTGTTTGATTCTGTGACAGTGATGTGCTCACTTCCCTTCACCTGATGGGAAAAAGCCAGGTACATATTTTGTGGGTGACTTCTGTCCTGGAATACAGTTGCACGCTCACACATGGAATCTAAGTTTATGGCATCTTATCTCGCTGGCTGGTATAGGTAGTTTCGCTCGCTAGCGGAGCCGGACTTCTTTCAAGAATGACTTTGGCTTCCAGGTCGACCAAGCCTTGAGTAGGTACTGGGTGCAGTCCCGGGAAGTAAAGGTGGCCGGTGTGATGCTAACCACATTACCCATCTTGTGTCTTAAAAAAATTTAAGTCTAGCCCTATATGCCCTATACGCCTAAAGGCGTGGAAAGGGGACCTTTACTTTTTTTACTTTTTTTTTTATAGGAGTGTCTTAGTTGATGACATCTGTAAGTGAGACCCCTTTGATGACATACTTAAACGTGATCTCTGGCAGATGAGCAGAATATTTAATCTACTTAGACAGGGTCACAAAAGTAAGAAAATGCTCTGTGTACCCTGTGCACATTACAATATCTCAGCAGCTGACAACTGTAATGTGTACATTGTATAGACAGCAGCACTGGCAAAATTTTAAAACTTACAAAACTACCCTCAATAGTATATTAAGAGTATGACACACATAAATCACTCGGGAACACTTGAAGCCATAGAAACAGCATAGTAAACATATTGTAACATACTGGCATTCATAAATGCAGAACGAATAAACAAAACTGTATTTTTCAAGGGCCACAAATTAGGCATACGGGCCCATCTCACAATCTGCCCTTCCAGACACTCACCTTTCACATTCACATGTTAATGTATTTTCATCTACAATGCATGTTATTTTCATATAGCAAAATACACAGTATGAGTCTAGACTGAAAAGTACAAAAGCGTGGATGGCAAATACATACAAAGGATAAAGTTAAGGGTTGAAGTTTAGGGGATTGACTTCACTACACTGGGGTTTATCCCATAAGGCTCAGTCTTACTCTGCAGAATGGCTAGCCGGATCATCTCTGTGTGCACAGCATAAAGTCAGTAGCTCCGGCGACGATCCCCAGCGAGCGCTAGGCAAACGGCTTGACTACTTCACCAGATACCCCCACAAATACATTAAAATATACATACATACACACATACACACAAACGTTCATACTCACACATGCAAACTTATACACCCATAATTCACACACATACACAAACACATGCACACATAAAGATCCCTTTTCATACCTTTAAGCGCATCGGGCATATGGGAAGAACGCCCATATTTTTACAGACCATCAGCACTAGGTGGGTAATGTGGTCAGCATTACGCCAGCCGTCTTTACCTCCCCAGGACAGCAATCTTGGTACCCATTTTAGGCTGAGTCGACCTGCGAAGACCCGTACCATGATAAAAATCCACGCAGCCAGCGTTTTGATCGCGGTACGTTGGAATTACGAGTCGGACTCGCAATGCCTGAGCCACAGGCACTTTTACATGCACACATACATAGACATTATTTTTGCTCCATTTGTAGACTGGAAGGATATAGTTTCGTCACCCAGCTTCTGAGTTGAGTGCATGGTGTGACACTGTGAGCTACGAGTGTTTTTCGTTGGCACAGGAGCGGAGCAACAATGGGGTGACCCTTTTGCTATGATGCTGAAACTAGGATTACCAGATTACCAGACATTATTTTATGAAGAGGAAAGAAGAAGAGACAAGAGGGCATGCTAGACTAATAAAACTCAAAATCTATAGTTATTACAACAGGAATCTAGCCTGTCACCTCCAGTTTATGACAGTGCCTTGCTGCAGACAAAAAGTGCATGCTGATGATTGCCAAATCCAAGGGTTTCTAATCAGAGATATATTATGATGAGAATGGTAGTCTGCGAACATCATCCACATGGGAGATAACAAAACAATCACAGCCACAGAGTCCTCATGTGTCAACCGCATTCCCTTGTAGGAAAAACAAGAATAGATCCACTAACAAGCATGTCGTAGGAAATGACATTTTGAAGAATCCTTCAAAGTCATAGGGCATCTGCCTGAGGGGCGATGAACAAAGCGTCTGCATACAAAGAAGCCAGATCTGTAAGACAGATGTGCACTCAACACTAGTATTCTGGAACTAGAATAAAGTCCAGAGGTGGATGAGCAACCAGAACTTTTCGCCACAGTTTACAGCCGTGAAGGCAAAGAAGAATAGCCACAGAGAAAACCAACCCTTACTAGTGATCACTAGCAACAAAGAATGGACTTAACAACGTAAACATGCCTTCCAAACTTGTCAAAGCAAAGCATACCCATTCTGAATGCTGGCTCTCCAGTGATTACTTGAGGGCACAAACGCAGTCAGCAGCACATGAAGGAAATAAAATATGACCACGGCTAAGCTGAGCCTGTAGACTGCCTTGTATCCCACCACCATGTCACATTCACTGTCTGACTTCAGCTGTTGGCAAATCTCAGAGATGTTCACAACCTGCAGACATTCAAATAAATTATAACCTGCAAACAGGAATGGATCATATTATATGCAACAGAAACAGACTGTAGGACTTCCATCCAGTCTAATATGGTGGACAGACAAGTTGACTGTTTTTAGTCCTGGCAAGTTATTTGCTTCTGACAACAGCAATTGTACTTGCCCTCATATTTGGACTAAAAGTACATAGTTAAATCACCCAGCTACTGAGCTGTGGGCATGGTGCAACACTGAGAGCTGTGGATTTCATTTGGAGTGCTTCTTTACTGTGACTAATGTGGTCTGTGCTGCGGACTGCAGATTTAGATAATGGTGAGTGGCCTGTTGCCACAGAACTGGTAGTGCTTTATGTGATTAATTGCGTGTGTAACTAATGATGTATTATAAGTGCTGCTTCCACTGATAATGAACATACTTTCCACAGCTGGGCTGTTGGTGTTGGCACTTCCGTTAGCTGCTTTACGCATTAAAGCATGTGTGTGCTATTGGTTTTGCCTTGACTATAGTATGTATCAATTATTTCACAATGGACAGTAATTTGTATTCTAAGTGGTTTTGTGATCATTCCCTGATCTTCCTTTCACTTCTCATCTCCCTATCTTCCCTTCACCTCTCATGATCTACACTACTAAGCCAGTATATCGAGCCAGTTAAGAGGAGTGAAGGTGGTGAAACTTCACTGGTTTTCAGTCGTAAACAGTTTCACATTATGTTTTGATCACAGAGCCTCTTAAACAACTCAATAATGTAGATCATTGTATTCTCTACGATTATAAGTATAGATGATAAAACATAAGTTAGTTTTAACTGTGTTACCAGGTTCAAACAGAGAGCTTCCTAACTGACAATGGTGGAGAGGTGGGTGGCAGGGTCAGAGCATGTGTTTATAAATGTGATTCAACCTGTGCTGACAGGCATACTCAATTGTATTTCTCATATTCTCTGAGCTTGATAAGTACACAGAGCTGTAAGTGCTGTGACACAGTTCAGTGTTGACACACTCAAAGCACATTACCACTGCCATCACAGTCAGACATCAACAAGAATGCTGTATCAGAATGTGGTCACAATTCACACGAGGAAGTCTGATGTAAATACGACGACTTAACCTCTGTTACTGTTATCTTTATTATCCTATCATAGTGCTACATTATTCTAAATCACACAGCATATTAGCCAACTCTTAACACAGTAACTAAAACCATTACTTATGTGGCATGGCCAAACAGCAGTTGTCCAGACCGTCCGCTAGGGCATCCCGTTGACTAATGCCCTCAGCTGGCTCATAACCTGAGCTCACTTCCTTATGGTCACTACAATCTAAGGAGAATAGCGCTGCGAGGAGTTACCAGGGGATCTGGCCAGCACTCAACATTCAGGGGAAGGAGGAGATGGATATACAGACGGTTACTTTTACCATCGGAATTTGAACTCTTTGCTTGCTGCTGAAGATGGGGACTGAGTACTTATAGGAATATCTCGAGTGCTGTGATGTCGATTCTTAATTCAACATTCACAGATGACTACAATAACAGATGACTATATTCACAGATGACTACATTCACAGATGACTACATTCACAGATAACTACATTCACAGATGACTACAGTCACAGATGACTACAGTCACAGATGACTACATTCACAGATGACTACATTCACAGATGACTACATTCACAGATGACTACATTCACAGATGACTACATTCACACATGACTACAGTCACAGATGACTACATTCACAGATGACTACATTCACAGATGACTACATTCACAGATGACTACATTCACAGATGACTACATTCACAGATGACTACATTCACAGATGACTACATTCCTAGATGACTACATTCACAAATGACTACATTCACAGATGACTACATTCACAGATGACTAAATTCACAGATGACTACAGTGACAGATGACTACATTCACAGATGACTACATTCACAGATGACTACATTCACAGATGACTACATTAATAGATGACTACATTCACAGATGACTACAGTGACAGATGACTACAGTGACAGATGACTACAGTGACAGATGACTACATTCACAGATGACTACATTCACAGATGACTACATTCACAGATGACTACATTCACAGATGACTACATTCACAGATGACTACAGTCACAGATGACTACATTTACAGATGACTACATTCACAGATGACTACATTCACAGATGACTACAGTCACAGATGACTACAGTCACAGATGACTACATTCACAAATGACTACATTCACAAATGACTACATTCACAGATGACTACATTCACAGATGACTACAGTGACAGATGACTACATTCACAGATGACTACAGTGACAGATGACTACAGTCACAGATGACTACAGTCACAGATGACTACATTCACAAATGACTACATTCACAAATGACTACATTCACAGATGACTACATTCACAGATGACTACAGTGACAGATGACTACAGTGACAGATGACTACAGTGACAGATGACTACATTCACAAATGACTACATTCATAGATGACTACAGTCACAGATGACTACAGTCATAGATGACTACACTCACAAATGACTACATTCACAGATGACTACATTCACAAATGACTACAGTGACAGATGACCACAGTGACAGATGACTACAGTGACAGATGACTACATTGAAAGACGACTACATTTACAGATGACTACAGTGACAGATGACTACAGGGACAGATTACACGGGCAGATGACAACTACACTGACAAATGACAACTAAACTGACAGATGACAGTGTATACAGTTTTTGCGATGACAATATAAATGTGACAGATTTGATACTTACATGCTCTTCAAGTAAATTCTGCAAGTCTGGGATCAGCGTGAGACACTGTATTATGAATATAAATGTTAGGAGGATTGTATACATGCCCCGTGTGCTTGTTGACTCATTGACTGGGGGCAGGCAGCTACAGCACAAGGCACATGATGCTGGTCCACAGCAGCAAGCAAACTGAAATCGCAAGCATCCAACAGTTAAGTCGAAGGGAATCAACTGTTTCAACAGGGGAATCAACCGTTTCAACAGGGGATTCAACTGTTTAAACAGGGGAATAAACTGTTTTAACAGCGCAGTCAACAGAATAGTCTTACCATTTTTTTTCTTTTTTCCATTAGACCTTAACTCTTTAATTTACCACTGACCAGTGTAAACACGAAAACCGCAAAACTGAAACTTCCTCTCTAGTTGTTTGTATTCAATAACATATGTGCTGACCTTGTCATTTGGATGATGTCCCCACGTGGGACACAATTTTTCGTTATTCTGAAGCCCCCACCCCAGCTTTAGCCAGGGGCCGCAATAAACCCTGATGGTTGAAGGCGGTTTCTGGGACCCCTCCACTGATATTTTCTCATCCGCATTGTGGCACTTTGTGTCACCGGGTGTTTATCGCTCTGTGTGATGTCCTGGTGGTGTAAAATATACATACATACATACGTGCTGACCATCAGCTTTTTTGGAAACATGGTTAAAAGCCTAAAATACAGTATGTTGGCGAGGTTTACCAAGTTATTAAATGTTTGTTTAAAAACAATATGGCCCCCGAGGAGTATTCTACATTCATGCCAGCATGGTTTACGGCTTCAGAAGCCTCAGATTTAAATAAAATACATGTTCATCAGATTTATCCAATGTTTGATGGAGAATGTGAAGTAGACTTGTGTCAGTCACTTAACATCAAACTTTGATGAGAGACAGCTCTAATATGTGTCTCGTGCAAAGCGTACATCGATAAAAAAGTCAGCTGGTACAAAGAGAACAAATATTAGTGATAGTGCAATTATCTTCAGTGTCAGTTAGTTCTAGTGCTATTCTCATTATTATTTAGGAACATAGCTACAAAACTGCAGGCAAAACTGAGTGTTATATAAACTTCATTTTGTGTGAAGATACTGACTGTTTTGGAAAGTCAATTCTCTTTACCAAATAATGGTGCTCTGTTATAATGCTCCAAAAGTTTCTCTAGAACAAGATCTAATTTACAGACTGAGTGTATATTTTACTTATACATTACTCAGTGGTTCATGTTTATTTGTGATTCATTTTGGATATATTTAAACAGGTTTTCCTTGATCACCGTAGTGGTAAGTGAAACAATTATTCTTTCATTTTAATAATTTCTCTAAACATACCATCTGTTTATTTACTTATATATTTAACTACTAACACAATTATTTGTTGCAGCAATATTCTAATATTATTCCCCAACAATCCCTGGTCACTTTGATGTATAATATGTGTATGTTGCACGACAGCTGAGCTAGTATGGTCTTTTTAAAACGGGTTTTTAATGGGTTACACATGTGAAATTAAAAAATGCACTATCCCCCCTGGTTCTCTGATGCTAAACCCCCTGGATCTAAAAAAGTTAAAATTAAACCTTCCTGATGACCACATTTGCCAGCTTGAGGAGAGTAGCCTCTGCTGTGTTTTTACAATTACAGTGGTACCTCGACTTATGAACCACTCAACATATGAACTTTTTGAGATAAAAACTGGTTTCATATCGCATTTTGACTTCCACATATGAGGCTAGTTTCAAGATATGAACCGTGGTGCATTTTGCATGTACAAATGTTTGTTATTACTTTTTCTCATTTATGTGGAATATGACACAACAAGTGGTTGTGTGATCACTGCTGCACATATAAGTTCTTTTTTTTTGGGGGGGGGAGGGGAGGGGGGGGGGGTGTTGGGTGGTGTGGAAGGGGGGGGGGGATACTTATTACAGTATTTGTGTAATCAAACAGTACAGTTAGTTTATATATAATGAAACAGTACAGTTAGTTTATATATAATGAAACAGTACAGTTAGTTTATATATAATAAAACAGTACAGTTAGTTTATATATAATGAAACAGTACAGTTAGTTTATACACTTGCAGAGGACATTCTGCAAAAACAATTATGTTATTTAGCTATCGCATAACATTTCCAAAAATACAACAGAAATTAAGAAAAAGATTGTGGTAGAGTATAAGAAAAAAGTCAGGTAAACTGATTTGTACAAACAGTATAAATAACTTGTCTGGGTCCACCATAGCTATAAATCTCATGAATCTATTTCCTTTTTTTTTTTCAGGAAGTGGGTATGGGTAAAGGAGTATTTATCGAGAAATGGAAACGTTACTACTTGTCTGGATTATTTATGTCATTCAACTGAAAGCAGGTAGTGTAACTTATAATATGATCTGTTCAGTAGCTCAAGCTATTTACTAAGATCTATCGTAGAACTTGCCATTCAGAAGCAAAGAGATCCATTTGTTTTATTATTTGATTTTTTATTTTTATTTTAAATTTTTTTTTTTCTGATTTTTTTTTTATCTGAGAACAGATTAACTGATTTCCTGTGAGATGTTAACAGGAAATTAGGTTTCAAGGTACAAACTTTTTGAGGTATGAATTAAAGTCAGGAACGAATTAAGTTCATAAGTCGGTTTATCAAAACTCATCTGAAGCATAAGTAAAGCCCATTAGTATTAGCCAAATATACTGCATAATGACAACCCTCAGTTAAAACGCCCGTCGAGTGAAATGAACTAAGTCGTGGTGCCACTGTATCTTCAATGTGAAAAAAAAAAGTAAATAGTACTGACTTTCCTGATAAAAAGTTGCAAAACAAAACAGAAGTTCAAAAATGTTTCCCAAAAAAATAATAACACAGGCTGAGATGGCAAGTCTCAAACCAACTCTCCTCTGCTACCACTGACCTTTTGCACTAAAGTTACAATGTCTCAGTGACACTTGGACAATAATAAACATACACCCCTGTGTGGGTTCCGGGGCCCTATTGTGGGGAAAACAAGAATAGACCCACTGCCTTCCCAAAAGCATGTCATAAGAGTCGACTAACTGGGGAGCTTCCTTTGAAGTCGGAGTGCATCTGCCTGAGAGGCAAGGAACGAGCAGTCTACATTCAATTGAATCAGATCTGTAAAACTGATGCACACGCAACACTCAGGTTCTGGAGCAGGACTGCAGTCCAGAAGTGGACGAACAACCAGAACTTTACGCCAGAGTGTACAGCTGGTGAACGCGAAGAAGAAGAAGAAGATAAACATACTAATTAGCCATTAATTATACTTGGGTGCCAAGTTTTTCATCAATCTGTAAACAACATGAGTGAGGAAAGATTCATACAAGCACTTGTAGAAGACACAAGTTGGACAATTACAATAAACTCAAATGTAGAGTATTTAAAGTATCACTAATATATTATTATGTAATTTCACTTACATCATATATCATTGGATATATATATATATATATATATATATATATATATATATATATATATATATATATATATATATATATATATTTAATTATAAATTAATAGTTATTTTATTAATAATACATAAGATATCCCCCCCCCCCCAACATTTTTTATAAGATAGGACAAGTTCTAGTTACCCTGTGTTGACCTACGCTGTTATAATTGATAATTAATTATAAAATAATAATTATAATGCCTTTATATTGACAATAATTACCTGTGATATGCAACAGCCCATGATCAAAATATAACGTGACTAACTAACACAACAGTAGACAGTCCTCGATGAAACAACAGCAAATACAAGCCGAGAGATGGTCAAGACGACATTCAAAATAAGCAGCTGATGACTGACAACCAGCGACATCAACAGCTGATTATACTGACAAGAATGACATCAACACGGAAAAACCTCCCGTCTCCAACAGTCAACCAACACTGGCAGACGGCGATTTAAATCGATCAATTTTTGCTGCTGCTCATTTGTTGCATACAACTTATGTTTTCATCGCGACCCCTTGGAAATGTAATGCTTCTAGGGCCATAAAGTGAGTATAGCACATGATATTATTATTATTATTATTAAGCCGAGACTGTGAGTCCACTTCTACAAGATCGAAGAGGGAGAATTTCTACGAGAAATCAAATCGATGGCCGTTTTTGTTGGTAACTGGCAGCTGGTGTTGGGTTTATTCAAAACATGGAGCGCGGAAACCCGGAGTGTATCATTGGGGTGTCTGCTCCGCCTCTGATTCCAGGAGAGTCAATGTAATTCTCTGTGTCGCAATGTCGCAATATAACACAACAAATGGGTTAAACTGGGTTTCTTGGATCTGTCCCCGGGTTATCATCTTTGGGTCACCAGGTGTTCATCGCACGGTGTGATATCATGGTGGGGTTGAACGACAGTCAGCCAGTCTAGCAGAGTTCAGTTCAGCTCAAGTAACATCAAAATTCCCGGGACATTCCCATAAGCACTCGGTCCCCATCGCAGCATTCAGCGAAGAGTTCTAACTCCGACTGAGCGAACAGAGAGTTGGTCCTCACCTGGCGCGCCGAAACAGAGCAAACATTGATGGAGCTCAGACTCCCAGCCGCAATAAAATATTTATGGGCGCAAACTGCGGACTCAAGGGGTTAATCTTAGTTTAGGAGTATCATAGTAATATTGAAAATGTACCGAACTGTGGGGAAAATGTTATAATATATTTGAAATAATATAAAGTCTAAAAATACGTTTAAACAGAATGTATAAACTTGGCGCTTAGCCTTGTAACAATTTTTGGGGTGAATGAGTCTGGGGGAGGGGGGGTGGAGGCGCACAGATTTCGGCGCCTATGGTCCTTACCTGCACAGGTCTACACGCTACACCAACCAGGATCCCCTTTACAGATGCCCCCACATTACAACTTGTTCGAAGGTAGAACGGAGTATTTGAGACTGCCGGTTGACAGGTAGGCAGGTACGTGGTTTATCTGTTCTAGGACAGATGATGATGATGTAGACATCAGGGATGCAGTTAGAGAGGAGTTAGCTGGCACCTTACAGAATCTGCATTATGAAGACATAATACGAGTAGACGATGTCAAACAAATTTTGAAAAAAGACGAAAGACATTGCACCAGGGCCTGATGGGGTCAGGTATGGCCACATGGAGGCTTTGAGCGATGTAGACCTGGCAGAGATGGCCGACTGTTTTAACCAGAGCATTAAGACAGCATCAGTACCGCAGGATTGGGTGCAAAGCTATCTAATCCCCCTACCAAAACCTTTTAAGGATCATTCAAAGCTCAGTGGCTTTAGAATCATCACCTTACAAAACACATTTGGAAAAGTCTTGAAGAAGATAGTTGCTGTAAAGCTGCAACGATTTTTAGAAAGAGGGAAGCTTCTCCCAAGGTCTGGGAAGCTACAGGCCATGTAAGAACACTTGGGCAAATGCGGCCACTTTTACTTTTGACATCTATGAAGGGCTCCAGAACAGACAGGAAACTATGGCGGTAGGACTGGATCTCGAGGATGCTTATAACAGAGTGAGATACGACATCTTAATGACTGCACTGAAGGAGACGGAGGTCAGTCCATGGCTGGTGAATTGGGTTGCAGCTATCCTGTATTGACGTCGGGTTGCTCTCCGACTGGGCTCGTGGGCCTCAGAACCGTGCAGTTTGGCCAAGGGCTGCCACAGGGATCCGCCATCTCGCCTGTGCTCTTTAACGTGTATACGAGCAAGATCGCAAGCCTAGAATCACCAGGCGTTGGAAGGATACTGAATTTTGCGGATGATATTCTTGCATGTAGGCAGGGGGGAGAGAGGGAACAACAGCTTGGGAGCTACAAGCGACAGTAGACAAAGTGACTGAGTGGTGCACAAAAATGAGGGCTGTCGTCCACCCAGAAAAGGCGTCTGTTTTGTGGTGTTCTCTGGACAAGCTTATGTTAAAGCTTATGTCCCAAGTCTCACGATAGATGGCAGAAATGTCAACAGAGCAAACTGAAGTATCTGGGAATTACATTTGACAGGAGCCTGTCGTTTAAGGACCATGTGGAGAGTGTTGTGACAAGATGCCAAAAAGAACTTAGTGCACTTAAGACTGAGGCTGTAATTGACATAGAGCAGAGAATGCTTTTCACACTGTATCAGCACCTGATCCTGCCAGTGGTTGCTTACCGCCTCAAAGAGTCAGATCGACAAACTAGAACGCAGCTATGCGGTTTATTCTGGGTTGCACCAGAGACACCCCAGTGGCGTGTATGCGGCACATCTTTGGTTTACCGACTGTTGCAGGTAGGCAAACCAAAGATGTGTCGCATACACGCCACTGTGGTGTCTCTGGTGCAACCCAGAATAAACCGCATAGCTGCACAAGGTGCTGCAGGCGAAGTCATATCTCAGGGTAGCTGCAGACACAGACCACCCTTTGCACGAAGCTCAGGGTGCAGTTAAGGGTCAGCGGCTGATAAGAGGAAAGTCATGGGTGGCTCAGGCAAAAGACACAATCAGACAGGTTTGCATCCTGAAGAACATTGGGCGAGGAGAGAAGGGGGTCAAAGCGCCACCTGAACAGTCAGACTTGTGAAGGGTCATAATCACACTGAGCCGGGAATGCAGAGACTCGCCAGCAGGTGCTACGGAGATGGATATTCGGCAATTAATTCAAGATAATGCTCGCTCAGAGGATTTGATCATTTACACAGACGGTTCAGTATATACAGGCTAAACAACAGGCTTGGGGCTTCTTAGCAAAAGTTAATGGTCGATGTTTGGTGCAGGAGAGACTAGCGTTTGATACCACAACATCCAGCTTAAGAATGGAGGTGGAGGCGGTCACTGCAGCTCTCCGCTGGCTAGAGAACACGACACACACACACACACACACACACACACACACACACACACACACACACACATCTTGATTGTAACTGACTCAGAAAGCATGCTGAGGAAGATCAGGATAGGCATGCTTCGTGCAGAGTGGCATGCTTCGCTGCGGAGGACACGGGGGAAGGGTATTGTCTGGATTTGTTCACCGGGGAACTCCTGTGTCTAGGGAAATGAACAGGCGGACAAACTGGCTGGCTCTGCACAACTTGATGGAATACTGATACATGATAAGGCAGACGTGGTTAGTCCCTTGTGGGAGAGCGTGTACAGTTCGGAGGAGCAGACTGATCACCAGTCTGGTGAGACTGATGCAGGGGGAGTGACGAGAGCATGGGGCAAATGCTCGAGGCTCAGAGGAAAGGCAAGGCATACGTTTAAGCAGAACGCTGTTGGCACCATTAGTATCGGAACTCTTCGCTGGCTGCTGAAGATGGGGACTTAGCACTTATGGGAATGCGCGCGAGTGCTGTGATGTCGGTTCTTGAATCAAATCAAATCAAATCTGCTCCAGGATTTCAGTCTGCAGAAGTGACATATTAGGGATTAGAATCCTATCTGTACAAATCCCGGAACCCTAGTTAAACTGCACAGCAGTTATACTGGGGCCCCAAGAGTTACCCTGAATTCGGGACCGGACAGGTAAGTGGCAATATGCATGACCCCCTTTGACAGGACCGAATTTCGTCACCTTTTCAGTCATAATCTGTTTAAATCACCATTGATCACTGGCATCATAAGATCTAATATACTGAAATGGATTGAACATATATATAGAGAGAATGTCAAATGACAGAGAGGTTAACTGTTTACACCAGGGAGCTGAATGATCATAGACTACAAGGCAGATCAAGAAGACGATGAAGAGATAACGTCCAGACAGACCTGCAAACATTTGGTGTCATCAACTGGAAAGAGAAGGCCGACTAGAGAGATGAGTGGAGGCGGGTGATATTTTCAGCAATTAACCTCAAGGGCTCGGAATGCTGAAGAAGAAGAAGAAGAAGAAGAAGAAGAAGAAGAAGAAGAAGAAGAAGAAGAAGAAGAAGAAGAAGAAGAAGAAGAAGAAGAAGAAGAAGAAGAAGAAGAAGAAGAAGAAGAAGAAGAAGAAGAAGAAGAAAATAGAAGAAGAAGAAAGAAAAAGAAGAAGTCACATTCTCTCAGCGACCCCCCCCCCCCCCCCCCTAAACCCTTTTCCTACTCCACTGCCTGTTGTTTTGCCATCTGGGGTAAGACTCTTAAAGTCTCTGTTTATCGAACTTTCAGACAGAGGTGCCTACACAAAGAAAATAGGAGGAGGTGTGGATATTGAAGGGGCTTAAGCTTTGTTTGAGCACCTAATATTAACATTAATAGTTGTCACCTTTATGTCTTTCCAGACTACAGTGTTATATTATGCTATGAGAAGGGATGGGACACAGCCGATGGCGACTGCGAGTATGGCTAGCAAGCCCACCAACAGTAAGAAAAGCTTCCACAAATAAAGCATGGGATTTCCGGACCGTTGTTACCATTATATGTGTTTATTTAGAGTGTTTCTTCTCATGTGCTCAGCTTTCATCCGTTTTGCAGTGATTTCTTTCTTCATTTTCATTCCCTTCCTGATTTGTCCGCACCACGCAACACGCTCCATGGCATTTTGTTCCAATGAATCCACCTCAATACCTGCATCATTCATGTCCCACTTGCACACATCTTTATATCGTAGTAGAGCCCGGCCTCGACATCTACTATCCATGTGTAATTCACCATACAGGATGTCCTTAGAGAGTCTACCTTCCTCGATTCACCTGCTGTGACCAAGCCACCTGAGCATCAGCAGACTGGACATTTGTTAAACCCTTGTAATACCTGCT